AGCAGCCTGGCAGGGAGGGAGGCAGTGCCTACCCCTGTCTTCTGCTCTCCAGTGTCCCTCTGGGGCTCCCCACTGGTCACTATAGGGTAAGGGAATCATATTGATGTCGTCCGTAGGTCAGTCTCCCAGGGTGCAGAACAGAGTGGAGAAGAGGAAAGAATGGGTTTGCAGGGGGCCAACAGAATCTCCATCGTTCTGGGCCAAAGCCCAGCAAGAAAGATTGAACATACACATCTCACAGCATCTTTCTCCTTCTCCCTTCCCTCTTCCCACCATCCCCCAGGGATAGAACAGGAGACACATGCGTCCTTGGTAAATCCTAATACACTGTGTATTAGGGGAACTCCCTGGCCCGGATGTCCTGGGTTTGGCTTCTGATATATGAAGAGGGAAATAAAAATATAAAGAACATCCCCTTCTTAGAAAATTGCCTATTTTGCAAAACTTTTGTCTTTCTGGCAAATCTAGTTTCAAATGCCAACAGTTTAAATACGAGTCTTTTTTGTGTGTTTCTCTTGCTCTTCTGCCTCACTTTAGAGTGAGGCAGAAGGTGGGTGCCTTGATTAGGATTTCCTTGCTAGGAAAAGACTATATTCTTGGAGAGGCAAAAGAGAATATAAAGATTTTACTTTTGTTATTTATTTGACAGAGACACAGAGAGGGAACACAAGCAGGGGGAGTGGGAGAGGGAGAGGCAGGCCTCCCACCAAGCAGGCATTCCGATGCAGGGCTCTATCCCAGGACCCTGGGATCATGACCTGAGCCGAAGGCAGATGGTTAACAACTGAGCAGCCCAGGTGCCCCAGCAAAAGAAAATATAGCACATTAATATTTTTTAAAGATTTATTTATTTCTTTTAGAGAGACAGAAAATAGGCGGTGGGGGGCGTAGGGAGAGGGAGAGAGAGTCCCAAGCAGACTCCATGCTGAGCACGGAACTCAACACAGGGCTCGATCTCCAGACCCAAGATCACGACCTGAGTGGAAACCAAGAGTAGGCCACTTAACTGACTGCACCACCCATGGGCCCCAACATGTTAATATTTTTTACAATGAGTACTCCAAATTTCACCAATATGCTGGTCTGGTCTCACTTCAGGAGGTCTATGTTCTTTTCCTGGGAAAGAAGTTATCTCCTGGACACGAGGCCCTGCATTTCCCTAAATTCACTAGAAGTTTCCTATCTCAACATATTATCAACTAAAATGGATTTTGCATTACTGCTTTCTCTAGAATATAGGAAGATACTAAAGATATCTGTTGTCTTGAAAGGTCTAAGTAGCTAGAACTGCCGTCTGTTACCGGTACATGTGCTCTCACACTGCCAAGAGAGGGGAAGATGGAGAATTTGCGCACTAGCTAAGTTTAAGCAGTACTTGTTCGATTCCTGGGCCCGGCTGAGTTAGGGAGCCAGAGTATTTTAGAGGTACCTACCATGGCTCTTCTTGCTCCCTAACTAGTAGGGCTGGGGGTAGCCGAACTTCTGCGCCCATCTCTTAAATCGTGTTTGGAATTGAAGCATTTTTTTTCCCTTAAGATTTATTTATTTGTTTGTTTGTTTATTTATTTATTTATTTGAGAGAGAACATGAGAGTGGGTGGGGGGCAGAAGGAGAGAACCTCAAACAAACTCCCATGCTGAGTGTGGAGCCGGAGGTCAGGCTCGATTTCACCACCCGGAGATCACAACCTGAGCTGAGACAAGAGTCGGTCACTTAACCAACTATGCCACCCAGGTGCCTCCTCCTCCCTCCCCTGCTATTTCTCAATGTACACAGTTGTTCTAGGACTTTGACTGAAAATACAACAGCTGCATATAAGCATAAATATTGACTAGCTGAAATAAATGACAGTATTTCCTCCCTTTCAGTACCCTACCTAACATTATTGTACTGAGTCTACAGATAGTCTCAGGTTGCAGGTGTCTGCATAGAGCTGACAGTCTTTCTGAGGGATCATTAGTACTGTTCAAAATGTTCATGTCCATTGATTCTGGAATCCAGTGTATAGGAAATCATCAAGATTTTACCTAATGATTTTACTAGATGTTCACTGTAGCTTCCCAGTAAACAGGGTAAGTTGTCAATCATACACGAGGCAATATACCGTGTAACCATCAAAAATATGTGAATATGGCTGTGTTTTTAGACAGAAGGATATTCATGATATTCTGTGGAATAAATCAAGTTCACAACAGTAAGTGCATACAAATATAACAAGAAAATGTATACATATGCATAGAAGAAATGATCAGAAGGAAGGGACCAAACTGAGAGTCATTTCTGGGTAATGTGATCAACAGTCATTTTAATCAATAAGGGATACTTTTATTTTTCTATCTTCTACAATGAACAGATATTATGCGTGAAAAAGAAAATTATTTAGCTTTGAAACTGGCCTCTGGAGTAGGTAGGTGGGACAAGAATCTGATGAACTTGGATCAGCAAGAGGCCACTTTCACTGATGCGTGTCGGTGTATCATCAGTGACACAACTGTTGACTCAGACAAAAGGATGTGGGTACAAGGGACTCAGGAGTGGGGCCAGCTTGAGAAGAGCTTTGCAGATTGGTTCATATTTTTATTCTCTTTACCTAGAATGTCCTGATACCGAAGGATAATTATTTACCTTTCTTTTCGACTTTAGTTAAAATCGGTTTTTAATTTCCTTCTCAAATAATAGTATCTAGACAAAAGAATATGGACAAAATAAGCTTAAAGTGTAGAAAACACTCATACACGGAAATCCAGTGTCCCAGAAATGGAGCATTCCCGTTAGCCCTGTAGAGATCCTTTGTAAGTTCCCCGTTCACATCTACACCCACTCTGCCTCAGAGAAAACCCTGGACCTGAATTATTTTTATCACTGTCTTGCTTTTCTTTATAATTTTATTTCTAAACAATGTTTTATTTAGTTTGCATATTTTGGGTCTTCGTACGGGTGGGGTTATACTTTATTATTCTTCTGCAACTTGTGCGTTTCACTCAGTATCTGGTTCCAGAGTTTCCTCCATGTGGTGTGTGGCTACAGCTCACTCGCTTTACTGTCGTCAATCGTGCGGGCATAAATGCATCGTGGTACACGTGTGCATTCTCCTGTTGATGGCCTTTGGCATGATCCACAGTTTTTGAACCATGAAAGTTCTTAGTGATGGCCTTGGGCACTCATGTATGAGTGTCTCAGGTATATCCGTGGGTGTAGAAATGAACTTACTCGATCATGTTAGATTATTTTCCAAGTTATTTGTCTCTCTTTATATTCTTGCCGGGAGAATATGAGAGTTTCTGTCCTCCATGTAGTCATCAACAATTGGTAATGTCATCAACATTTGGTAATGTCAGACTTTGAACTTTTTACTAATCCAATGGTTGTGAAGTGATTTAATTTGTATTTCCCTGAACATCAGTGATATTCAGCATGTTTTCTTGGGTAACCATTTGTGATTTCTTCCTATAGCAAATCTATTTTGGGTCTTTTGGGCTGTGTTTCTGGTGGGTTATTTCCCTTTTTTTTTTTTTTTTTTTTTTGCCTGGTTTTTAAGAATTCTGTTTATTCTGGGACCTCATCTTTTGCTAGTTATACATATGGGAGATATCTTTTAATTTTCCATTTAGTGTGTGTGATGAAGAGACATTTGTCCTTCTATTCACCTTTTTTCATGATTTGCCTTTTTTGCATCTTGTTTAAGAAGTCCCTTCCTACCTAGAAATTCATAAACCCTACTGTCTTCTAAAATGCTTATAATTTAATCTCTGAGAATTGTGTGAAGGTGTCCAATTTTATTTTTTCTACACAGATAACAAGTTGTTCTGGGACAGCTTACTAAAAGGTCTTCCTTTCCCCATAGATGTATATAAACATTAGCTCTGTCATAGCTTGTGTCCTAAAAGAAGCTTCTATTTATGTGGTGGCCTGTTGTTAGGGCCTTCAGAGAACGTATGCGTTTGAGTTATCCAGATGCTAGGGGAACATCTGCAGGGAATGTCTATTTTTTTTTTTTTTTTTTTTTTTTTTTACAAAAAGGCATTTTTCTCACATAACAAGTTAGAAGTGGTACTGTTCAGGGTCATTGTGTGGCCCAGTGATGTCCTCAAGAAGCCGGGTGCTTCCCTGTGTCCCTCCGCCAGCATCAGCTTGTGATGTCTCCTCACAGCTGCTGCTACTCCAAGTTTCGTATCCACACGATTTCCATGTGCCAAGTGGAAAAAAGTTACAGTGCTGTCTTCTCTCCAGCTTCTTTTGGACCACCCATGTAGTGTGCATTTGGCTCACACGCAGTCCCGCCAGAACGAGGAGCCTCAGGGAGGCGTGTTTTGTTGCCCATTCAGTGCTGAGGGTCAAGGCTGCTTGCCTCCCAGATCCTTGTGGGCAGCGATGGTATTGGTTTCCAGTTCACCTTCCTCTCAGGGTGCAGCCCTGTGGGGATGCAGATCCCCTCTCCTTGGGTGGCCCTAGGCTTTGTCCTCTGCCCTCTGCACCCCAGGGGACAGTGAACACTGAAGCCAGAATTCATCTGGGAGGCAAATGGTGGAACTAATGAAAACTTCTGTTTACACCTCTGGCTTCCCACTTTGACTTAGTTCTTTGGCTTCTTAGTGTTTTTTACCTTCTTGGCAACTCATCACACATTTAGAGAGATTTTTTTTTTTCTGTAAGTTTTAGTTGTTTTTTTAAATTTCATTTATATATTTTTTAAAGATCCCATTCATTTATTTGAGAGAGAGAGAGTGCTCACGAGCAAGGGTAGGGGTGAAGGGCAGAGGCAGAGGGAGAAGCAGGCATCCCACTGAGCAAGAAGTCCAACATGGGACTTGATCCCAGGACCCCAGGATCATGACCCAAGCTGAAGGCAGATGCCTAACTGACTGATGCCCCAGGAATTTTTAATTGTGCTTTTAGCAGGAGGGTCTGTCAGGATATCTAATTCTCCAGAGTGTGGAAACAGAAGTTGGCCAAATTCATTTTTTTTTAATTGCATTATGTTTTATCCATCTTGCCTAAAGGTTTGTTGGAGACTGAACCATTGCAAGGACGAGATGAAGACACGGTAGCAAGTGCTGACTTCTCTAGCATGCTGTCTCAGGAGGAAAGAGAAGAGTTAAAGGCAGAATTAGTTCAGGTATGTTTAGCCATCTTATTGTCCTTCTGTCTGTCTCAGGATCTTAGGAGTTATTGTTAGTTTTGTATAAGTCCCATGTTTTAGTTATGTTGTCTTTCATGTATTTATTTTTTTATTGAGAGAGCACCAGCAAGGGTGGAGGACGGGGCAATGGGGGGAGCAGAGAATCTTAAGCAGGTTCCACACCCAACACGGAGTTTGACATGGGGCTGGATCTCATAACCCTGAGATCATGACTTGAGATGAAATCAAGAGTCAGATGCCTAACCGATTGGGCCACCCAGGCGCCCCTATTGTCTTTCATTTAATAAAATTTAATAAATGATATTGTAACGTAATTCATTTTTTCTAGGGTGTTTTTTGTAATGCTAGTGGTCCATTATCCACTGGTTACAGAAGAAAAAGGCATAGTTATATTGCTTAATCAGCAGTAACAAGTAGCTGTAAATATGCGCCTCTTATTCTTTTTAATTTCCCAATATTATGGGAACAGTAATCACTTACAGGCCTGATGAATTCCTCCAAGACCTTGGTATAGGTACAGGTGCAGGCTCTTTTGTAAGAGCAATTCCTGCTTTAGGTCAGCAGCTTAGCTCAAGCAATACTTGGAAGTGATTTCTTTCTGTAATTAGAGGTCACCGAAGCAACTGGATTTTGTTAAGTTGTGTACTTGTTTGCAGAGGAGTAAAGTTCTGGGGGCAGAGAGGAAAGCTATGATGAATTCCGGTTGCCTTAAATCTTGTGTAGTTGCTGCGGGCCTCTGGACTTGGAGGCAAGGATGATGCCTGGCTGGTGGGGAATACAACTTCTGTTAAAGCCAACCCTTTCAGACTTTGCTACCAAGCGGTTACATTGTAGGAGGAAAGCGCTAGAGAAAGGGAGCTTTTCAAGTAGAAGAAGCAGTTAGGGCCAGAGGAATGAGACCCATATTCCTCCCCATTCTACGTCCCTGGATCCCAGGGCAGGAAGCTCCTGGTCCAGCCAGAAGCAAGGCTCTGGGCTCAGTCGCATGCAGAGGACACGGCTTGTAGCAGCACCTCGCCCTCACCCTGCTCTGTCCGCTCCAGGCCTCAAGCCCAAATGCTGTGGCATTTGTTTCAGACAGCTTATAATAATATTGAAGACTTTTTAGGTACTTTCATAAAACACACCCAAAAATAACTTCATTATAAAATGACAGAGCAGCTTGTTTTTCTGGCACAACAGAAATGATTTCAGGCACAGCCTCAAATCAAATAGCCTGGCTCTTGAGTGGGGTCTGTCTGCGGCCACTGATCTACAACCACCCAGCCGACTTCCTGTTGGCCACAAATGCCAGCAGGCCCGGACCGAAGTCAGCCGTGGAAGAAAATGTCCTAGCTCCGTGTTTCCTTACAGCCCGGAACTCTGGTTCATGACCAGCTTGTTCATGTCAGTTGTGGTGTCCAAAAGTTATATTCTTCAGACTGGTGTCAGCTAACTGATTCTGAGCTGAAATTTAATTCTTGCACTGTTATGGTCCAAGTTTAAATTCAGCAAAACTTCTGTAGCCAATCAACCTTTAGAGAATGCCTTGAGTTTTGGGGGTTCTGGGTCTGCTGGGGTATATACACACACGTAGATCATTGTGTTTTTTGAATGCGTTTTTATTTTCTAAACGTTCAACAGTGAGTGTGCGTTACTTTTCTAATCAAGAAAAAGTGAGCCTTGGTTCTAAGTGGATGCCCCTGTAATACAAAAACCAGTGGTGTTTCCAGAAATTTCTGTCTCACTTGCCACATTACTAAGCTTCCAACACATCTCATTACTAAGACTCTTGAGCCTGCCAGATCCCGTTACCATGTTCAAGTGACCAGGATTCGTGTTCTCATCCTCTGGAGTGCTTCCTGTCTCTTATTTCTGGAGTCTCCAGGAATGAAGAAGTACCACATATTGCCAGAGAGGCATCGTGACTCCCAGAGGCACATGGGTGCTGCTGCGTGCCCCAGACCCCGTGAAAAGCAAAGGAAATGGATCTTTGCTGGTTTTTTCTCTTCACATTTCCATTTCTTCATCCACCTCAGGCCACCTCTGCTTAATGCTCATCCTTTTCTTAAATCTGCTTTGCCTGCCCTTCCGTGAATGCCTGCGCCTGTATGTGTGTACCTGCCGACACTTGCTCACACACACGTGCATGCACACTCACGCTCACACACCCACCCCAAACCAGGTTCTTTCCGATCACATAGGCATTCAGATTAGCTCAGATGCTGGGGTCTTATTACAACAAGGACACACAGAGAGCAATCTCAGCAGTCCCCCAAGTGGCCCTTCCAAGACCAGGGACAGCTTTTAGAGCTTCCTCAGCTCTCCACAGACGTTCTTCCTGGGCCCCTGTCACAAGCCACCCCTCTCTGTGCCTGAGGGAAGGTCCTACCAGATCCGTTCGCCGCTTGGATAACAGGATGCCTCGCAGGCCAGCCTAATAGGTTGCCTTTGAGTCAGGCGGTCATTGGGGGCCATGACCCAAAGGAAGAGCTTTGTGGATGAGGACTTCTCATCTCTGACCCCCTTGCTTACAAGGGGTCTTGGAATGTGCCAGGGATCCAGGTTCCTCTTCAATGTACACCTCTCCCTGGGGGGCTTAGGTTCTTCCACAGTTTTGTGACTCTGCCGGATGCCCCCCACCAGCTGCTGTGTCCCGCACTGTTTTGTTGTTCATATGGCCCTGAAGATGCCCTTACACTTCGGACAAACTCATAACTCCACTCATCCACACAGCCAACATGTTGTGTGTTGCCAAGTGCAGGCAATGGAAGATCTGTCCTTATGTCAGGAGACCTAAGATAAGCCAATAGTGTCCACAAGGCTACATCTCAGATTAAGTTTGCACTTGAAAAGAGGAACCTGATATGAACAGTTTAGTCTTTGGTTTATTACCACGATCATGCAGTATGTGTGTTTTTAAGTTTCTTCATTGTGAGGCCAACACAACACTGGTGCAGTGGTCTTTGTATAGAAGGTATGCAATTAAGATTTGTCATGATCTTGAATTATTTTATAACTTAAAGAAGTATTTACTTTTTTTAAGTTTTTTTTTTTTTTTTGGAACCTCTGCACCTAACATGGGGCTCGAACCCATGACCCCAAGAGTCATGTGTTCTGCCATCTGAGCCAGCTAGGTGCCCCAAGATATTTGCATTTTTTTTAAAGATTGCATTTATTTGACAGAGAGAGACACAGGGAGAGAGGGAACACAATCAGGGGGAGTGGGAGACAGGGAAGCAGGCTTCCTGCTGAGCAGGGAGCCCGATGTGGGGCTCGATCCCAGGATCCCGGGATCATGACTAGAGCCGAAGGCAGATGCTTTATAATATTTGCATTTTTAAATACCAGTGGTTGAATATGTTTTCTTACAAACCTTACCAGTATACAAAGACGTATTATTTTATTTCAGCTATTTGTTCTCTTTAGGTCCTGACCTCTTTTTTGAGATCTTTACATACATGTTCTTTGGGGTTTTTCTTTTTTTCTCTCCTTTTTTTTTTTTTAAGATTTTATTTGTTTGAGAGAGAGAGAAAGAGAGGGAGAAAACACAAGCGGGGGGAGGGGCAGAGGGAGAAGCAAACTCCCTGCTGATCAGAGGGCCCCATGCCGGGCTCGATTTCAGGACCCTGAGATCCTGACCTGAGCTGAAGGCAGAGGCTTAACCCACTGAGCCACCCAGGAGTTCCTCTCTCTCCCCGTCTTTGAATAAACTTGCTCACTATTTCTGTGCTGCTTCCATCCTATTCCACTCTTACGTCCCTAAGCTGCATGTTACGCTTTGTATTCCATAATGTGCCTGGGCTTTTGAAAAGGATGAAATGTTGTCATTAGTACTATAAATTTATGATTATATAACTATCAAATACTGCCAGTGTCCTCTAGATAAAATGACTCAAGAAAAATAGGCATTAATAGGAGTAGGAAAAACAACAGGCAGCATGATCCAGTAGGCAAAGCCAATTTTCAGTCTCCCTTCATCTCCCTTTGGGCTCTTCTTCCTTCCTTTTGTGTGTGGTTCCCCAGGAAGAACACAGTACTCTCAAGCCACATGTCTTGTAGACTTACAAAGAAGTGCCTTAGGCTCTGGGTCTTTCTTAGTTACTTCCTTCAAGGCCTTCTTTATTCTTTCTGGACTCAGTAGTGAACAACTGAAGTGTTCATAATCAGTAATATCTTATTGTAATACCCTTCTGTATTAGAGTCCTTCAGAAACACAGAACCAGTAATATATATGTATGTATATATAAAAAGAAATTTTACAAGGAATTGGCTGATGTGATTATAGAGGCTGACAATCACAGGATCTACAGTCAGTAAGCTGGAGACCCGGGGTAGCTGATGGTATAGCTCTTGTCTGAAGGCCAGCAGGCTTGGGGCCTAAGAACAGCGGATGTTACAGTTTAAGTCTGAATGAAGAAGAAAAACAATGTCCCAACTCAGAAGCAGCCAGGCAAGAAGAGTCCTTATTAGCTGAAGGAAGGTCAGCCCTTTTGTTCTATTTAGGCCTTCAACTGATTTGATGAGACCCACCCACTTTGGGAAGGCAATCTGCTCTACTCAGTCTACCAATTCAGTTGTTAATCCTACACACAAAATAAATAAATAAATAAAAACCTCCTGGGTACATGCAGCATGATATTTGACCAAATGGCTGGGCATCCAATGGCCCAGTCAAGTTGACACATAAAAACAACCATTGCACTCTCTCAAGTAGTATCTGGATTTTGATCTTACTTCCTAGGAGTCTTAGCCAAAGGCATGATTAGCCAGGAAAGGAGTCTGGTCTTGAAGTAGTGTATGCAAGAGACCAAATTCTCTCACTCCTAAGCATCATAATGATGCTTTAATAGTTTATGAAAGATTTCTTCACCTGGATATAAGTTAGATATTTTATGTAATCTGGCAGATAAAATAGGAAAGTAAATTTTCTATCTTCTAACACAAATTCCATTTTGAAGGTAATTAATTAGCTACTCCAGGTTAATTTATGTTTTTTTTATATTTTTTATTGAGATATAAAATTAGCTATTTTAACGTGAACAGTTCAATAGCATTTAGTATTCTTACAATGTTGTATAACTACCACCTCTAGTTCCAAACTATTTTTAGTACCCCAAAAAGAAACCCCATATTCATTATGCAGTTGCTTTCCCTTTCCCCTTCTGCATTCTGCCTCTATGGATTTACTATCCTGTATATTTCATAGAAGAGATGACCTTTTGTGTCTGGCTTCTTTCACTGGGCTGGATGTTTTTGAGTTTCACCCACGTTGTAGCATATCTCAATACTCCATTCTTTTTTATGGCTGAATAATACTCCATTTTTGTGACTAGTGCAGTTGTGTATCTGTTCATCTGTTGATGGCCATGTCAGCTGTTTTCCCATCTGGCTATTGTGAATGGTGCTATTATGAACATGTGTATGCATGTATTTGTTCATATTCTTTGGGGAATATACCTGGGAGTGGAATTGTTGGTCATATGGTAATTTTATGTTTAACTTTTTAAGAAACTACCAGACTCTTTTCCACAGGGGCCATTTTCCATTCCTACCATTCCTACCCAGCCATGTACAAGGCTTCCAATTTTGCTACATCCTCACCGATATGTGCCTGTTAATTCATATTTAAGTAATCAAGTTTCAGTATCTAATCTTAATCATAAATATGGGTCATCCAAGAGATCTCCTAGGGAGTCAGAAAACCAAAGAACCAGACTATTAGTTTATAATAAAGAAATGATTCATTTAAAGTTAAAGCAGAAAGGATATATTAAACACTTCCGTTAATGACTTACCTGCACTCCACCTCATCCCATAAAGAATTTGCTGTGGCTCAGAGAGGTACTTACGGTATCAGGTTTCCATACCACCAGCCTCAGAGTATCTGGGAGCACAGGTTAAATAATGTATGTAGCCTGGCCCTACCAAGTTGAAGATATCCGAGTCTTAGGGCATTAAAATCTGCATCTTAAATATGCCCAATGAGTAACTCTTATGCGAACTGAAATTGAAAACCACTGGTGTAACCAGACCAAAAAAATCTCATTGGTCAAATGAGGGGTGGACTCTTGTCATGAGCATCATTTAAAATATTTGTGATTAAAGGCTTTGCCGTGGGGCAGAACTCTCTGTTCTGTGGAAAGAGATGTGGTTCTCATTTTCATTCTTGCAAGCTAATATAATTGAAGATTACGTGTTTTTTTTTCAATTTCTGAATTTGCTCATAGATTTTTTTGGCATGTATTTAGATCACCGATAAATATACCGAAAACTTCAAGAAATGTGAGTCTCAATGTTTCATTGAAATGATGAGAATTTCATTAAAGAACCCGAGAACAGACCAAACTGAGTAACCAAGTTCATGTTTCTATCATTAAAAGTCTGTTCCTTACAAATACTTTTTTTTTTTTTTAATTTGACAGAGATCACAAGCAGGCAGAGAGGCAGGTAGAAAGAGAAGGAAGCAGGCTCCCCGCAGAGCAGAGAGCCCCATTCGGGGCTCGATCCCAGATCCCAGGACGCTGGGATCATGACCTGAGCAGAAGGCAGAGGCTTTAACCCACCGAGCCACCCAGGCGCCCCCTTACAAATACTTTTTAATGTGTGCTTCCATGTCTAGAATATTAGGTGTGGGACTTCATTATTCTTTCTTTAGGTTGATGTTTGGTAAATTGATCACTTCAGTGTTTCTCTTCACTTCTGGTGGATTAAGCATTTCATTAGAAAACTATGAATCCCTTGCCTCCCTCAAATAACTAATGAATCTCCTATTGTCCCCCAATATTGAATACATTTCTAGGGTCCCATAGATAGGAGGTTGAGAATATCAAGATGTTTGAGCCTCCTTCCTCTTCTCTACATCTGTAAGTTCTTATTGCCAGTTAAAAATTGTCCCTTTATTTTTATTACAGAGTGAAAACCACAGTCTTACCCAATGCATAAAAAGCCCCAAGATTCCCAATAATTTCAGTCACTCAGAACATATTATTGATGCAAAAGAAAGCAGAAAACTTCTTTTTTACAGAAAAAAGGCTGCTACAGAAAGACAGCTAGAGATACAACCTTAAGAAATAGTAGACCACAGATTAAACGCAAGAGACACATTGACAAAGATGAAAAAGTGGAATGTAACGGGATAGCGAGAGAATAGAGGGTTTAATTTTAAAATAACCGTATGTTCTCATTTAATGGGGAGACCAAAAGCATGACCCCCTTTGGTGGTCCTGGAGTGGACTCCTTTTGCAGCAGTGAGTATACGTCTGCATACTGAAGACCTACTCCTCAAGACTGTGCTACTGACTAGAACATGTTTGTGGAGTGGGTAACCATGTTAGAGAGATTCCTGTGAACATTGGAAAACTGCCCCTTAAACATAAAAAATGACTAATGCAAGATTACTAGGACATTTGCTGATATCAAAAACTCCAAAAGATTGTTTTTTTTTTTCCCCACCATAGTATTTAAGATGCTTCCAACTTAGAATTTTGCCTATTTTACAGAAGTGATTATTTATGTCCGTGAAGCTTCACACTATTCCATCTGTCCACCATTGGGGTAAAATCTTCCTTGCACAAGTAAAAAGTCTAATCTGTGCCAAGGTGCCTGTCTTTCTCGAGAGGCCTTTTTAGCAGCTGTATCTCCAGTAACCCGAGGAGCACATTTGCCTGATGACTGATGGTGTTAGTGTAAATGTGGTTTGTGGTCAGAAGTAGAGCTAGATATTCTGACTGTAAATGAGACACAGCAGCCACATTTGTAAAAATAAGAAATCTGGTGAAAATGTCAGGCTTGTTATGACCCCTGTGCATGTGGGATGCTAAGGGAGTACTGGTCGTTCTCTTTTGGCTTCACAAAGGAAGTCAGGATCATTTTGTAAATTTAAGCAATATTACCAGGGCAATACATTGTAAAACATGACAACAGAATAAAATACGACAGTCAGAATCAAAGACTTTGTGGAGTTTCAAATTGATTTTCACAGGTTATAGCACCACTCTCGAAAATCTGAGCATTTTACAGAGCTGCTTTGTTAGAAATTACCTTTGCAGGGGCAGTTTGTGTGTGTGTGTGACTTGCTTATTTTATAACTGTAAGTTTGTACATTTTGACATTCTTCACCCATTTCATCCACCCCACCTCCCGCACCCCTCCCGCTGGCAATCACCAGTCTCTTCTCTGTATCTAGGAGCTTGTTTTCATTTGCTTTGTTTTTAGATTCCGCATATAAATGAGATATTATGGTATTTGTTTTTCTCTGTCTGATAACATTTCACTTAGCATGATACCCTCAAATTCCATCCATGTCACAAATGGCAACATTTCCATCTTTTTTATGGATGAATAATATTTCTGTGTGTGTGTGTGTGTGTGTGTGTGTGTGTGTGTGTGTGACATTTTCTTTCTCCATTCATCCATCAGTGGACGCTTAGCTTGTTTCCATATCTTGGCTATTGTAAATAATGCTGCAGTGAACATGGGGGTGTATGTACCTTTTTGAGTTAATGTTTTCATTTTCTTTGAATGAATACCCAGAAGGAAAATTGCTGGGTGGTATGGAAGTTCTATTTTTAATCTTTTGAGGGAACTCCATACTGTTTTACGTAGCGAACAAGAGCAATTTTGTGAGATTTGCTTTTCTTCTCATACAGGGGAAAGAGGAAATATATCCTCACTATAACCTTGTACATGAGTGGTCATAGCAGCTTTATTGCATTGGCCAAACCCAAATGTCCTTCACCAGGTGAATAGGTAACAAACTGTCCATACAAAGAATACTGCTCTTCAATAAAACGGGAAGAACCTGTGATAATGCAGCAACATGGATAAATCCCAAAAATCTCAAGTAATTAGACCGAGTGAACAAAGGCACACAAAATGAGTATGTGCTGTGGAGTGAAAGAAAGACCAGCGAGCGGCTACCTGGGAGGAGGGGTGGGGGAAGGAAGAGGGAGGAATGACAACAAAGACCTAGAAGACTTTTGGAGGTGATGGACATGTTCCCTTTCTTGGTAGCAGTGATGACTTCACCAGAGTAACACACATGTCAAAACTAACAGGCTATACACTTTAAATATGGGTGGTTTATTATACATCAATTATTTGTCAGTACATTGTTAAAAAGAAAAAGACACACGAATCACATTCTCGCATACATCCTCTCCTCCCTTGTTCTCCCCTCCTGAGACACTAGCTTGGCAAAACCAGTGTCTGCCCAGTTTGTGTCTACATCAATGCAGTGATTTGTGATGGACAAAAAATACACACACAGGGGTGGGGGGATGGGTGAGCCTGGTGGTAGGTATTAAGGAGAGCACGTATTGCATGGAGCACTGGGTGTGGTGCATAAACAAAGAATCTTGGAACACTGGAAAAATAAAATAAAATTAAGACATTAAAAAAAATAAAAATAAAATAAACAAGCAAACAATAATAAAAATAAACACAAAGTACTGACCAGTGACACATGAAGTTGCTTTTAGGAGCAAATTAAATGTTAAAAAAAAAAAAGAAAAGAAAACATTTTGGGGGGGTGGGCACCTGGGTGACTCAGTTGATTAAGCATCCAACTCTTGATCTCAGCTCAGGTCTTGATCTCAGGGCTGTGAGTTCAAGCCCTGCGTTTTTGAAAAAAACAAAAAACAAAAAAATTGGACGATGAGAAGCCAAAAAGTTAAGTAGCGGCTATTTTCTAGTGGATTAGAGGTAATCATTCTTGTTTATATTTTGCTGTGTGAATTTTTTATAAGGAGCAATGATTACTTTTATAATCATTAAAACTAAAGAAATCTGCTTCTATTTCAAAATATCAGACCGTCATCGCTGTGGGATGTGTTGGCTGTAAGTAAACGTGGGCCTGGAATACGATGGTGCTCCGGGCGGCTTTGGAGCACCGAGCGCTTTGCAGGTGTGTGTTTCAACTGCCCTCACATCTTTCCGCACCGCTTTCCTCCCACCTGTAGCTCGAAGACGAAATCACAACATTACGGCAAGTTTTATCAGCGAAAGAAAGGCATCTGGTTGAGATAAAGCAAAAACTCGGCATGAACCTGATGAATGAATTGAAGCAGAATTTCAGCAGAAGCTGGCACGACATGCAGACCTCGACTGCGTAAGTCTAGCGACAGAATTTCCAAAAAAATCACTTATTGCTGTCTCTCACTTCTTCTGTTTTCGTTTTTGTGTTTTTTCTATGAGACTGATTTGGAACTTGTGGCTAGGAAAAATATTTTCTCTAGAAATAAAATAAATATGAATAATCATTAAATACACTGTCTGGTGCAGACTCTGAAAAGTAACTTCATGAAATTAAACTGTTCACCAGATGACTTTTATGGATTTGTATTTTTTCTCTGTATTAGATACTTCTAAACATTCCTGAAATAGATATTTCTCTCTTTATGTTTTCTCATACAATTCTAAACGGACAGGTGCTTTTTCCTCAAATACTCAGCATTCACTACAGATTTTCAGTTTCTATACCAAATGGTTGGCCCGTTTAGTACAGACTTGTTGCCCACTGATTTAAAAAGAAATGCTTATACTTTGGGGGTGTGCTTTTCATCCCTTCTACTCTAGGGAGTATTTAGAGTTGCGGCAAGGCCATGTGAGATCATAGAAGTGTGTGTGTGTGTGTGTGTGTGTGTGCGCGCGCGCGTGCATGCAAGTGCTCTGTCCCTGGTTCCTGACACAGAGTCCCTAAATCTCTTGGAATTTCCAGAGTGGTAGTAGTATTCTTTGTTCTAATGAGGTAACTCTCAGTGGCTCTGGGGTGGGGGGCCGGTCACAGGAAAGACTAAGCCATGATTAGAAGCTTGGACTTGCAGCACTGTGCCCTATTCTCCAGAGAGAGAAGAGGGGGCTGGAAATGGAGTTAATGATGGGTCATACCTAAAATCTCCAAAACATGGTGTCCAGAGAGCTTCTGGGTTGATGGACACAGGGCGATGCTGGGGGAGGGGCACACCAAGAGAGAGCATGGAAGCCCCACAGCCCTCCCCATATACCTTGCCCTGTCTGTATCCTTTGTCATATCCTTTTATAATAAACCAGTCATCTAGTAAGGAAACCATTTTCCGGAGTTCTGAAACCACTCTGGCAAATTAATCAAACTTGAGGAGGAGGTCATAGGAACCTCCGATTTATGGCCCATTGGTCAGAAGCACACAGGCGATAACCCGCACTTGCCATTGGCATCTGAAGTGGGGTGAGAGCGGCGGTGTTGTAGGATTGACCCTGTGGAAGCTGACACTGTCACCCAGTATGCAGTGCCTTAAATTTTAGGACACCCAGCTGGTGTCCCAGATTTGCTTGGTGAGGGAAAAACTATGTGTCTGGTGTCCAATGTGTTGTGAGTGTGGGGGTCGGCCCAAGAGCAAAGGAGACACACAGGAAAAGTGAGTTTTTCCTGCTCACACCACCAGAAATGGTTTAGGCTTCCCCAATATCTTTTTGTCTGGTATTAGGAAGGATACAAAATAACTTTGGATATTCTACAATCGTACTTTCATTGGATTACTCTTTAAATTACATGAGTTATTCAACTATGGTGGTGCTTTTCTAATGATTTAAAATATTTTGCTTGCCAGGTGTTCTTGTATCAAAGGGAAGAAGGTGCCCACCTCATGATGTAATTTTTCTTTTTCTGTGAGTTGGGGGGTGACGGCCAATAGAGAAAGTTCCTATCCCTGGCCCTAACATTAGCCCCCAGTTTTTGTCTTTGTATTATGCATTTTCTTCCCTGGCATTATCCACTGGCTGGTAAAGATTGCATTCCTAATATTTTAGTGGAAATCAATTTTTCTCTTTGCAGGTACTTTTCTCCCAACTTAGATAGGCTGGCAGTAGGAACAAGTACCAGTGATGGACAGCAAGCACTTCAGTTTTGCCGGAGGCCAGCTGTGCCTGCTGGCTGCGGAAAACTAAGCCCTAAGACCCAGTGAAGGGGCCCTTTGTATGAAGAGTTCCATCTAAACGAACCTGGCGTCTCCCCACTCTGCTTCCCCTAGGTTCCATGTTCAGAAGAATGTTCTCTTCCCCTGCCACAGCCTCTTAGTCTTATCCGCTCCTATGCTGGTGTCCCCCAAGGGCTCATCCCAACAGCATCAGAGCACAGCCCAGAGTAGGGGCAGGATGGAGCCAGGGAGCCCATGGAGTTATCTCCGGGGGCAAATTAACCTTCCCCAACCCAATGGTGACAATTATGGAAGACCTTAAGAGACCGCTTGGTGGTGTTTATCAATGTAAATTATATATGGCAACACTATTAAGTGAGCTTCTCTGTCAGTAGTTTGGGCTTCCGTCTTTGCACTTTGTGGCTTAAACCACTTAATGGCCCTGACATAGTGAGGCAGAACAAGCTCCAGCATCCTGGTCCTGGGTGCCTCCTGTCACGCTGATCTGAACCTCCTTTGAGGGTGTAAGACCCAGGCAGGATCTTGCTGCTTGGCCTCCCTAAGCACACTGCAGGAGTGGGCTAACCCAACAGAGGGCAGGACGACTCCAGCGCTTCCATTGCTGAAGGGAGGGACGGAGCAGCCCATGTCTGGGCAGAGGCTATGTCAGGTTTGCCCTGGTCTGAGGGGGATGGGTGGGGAGAGATTCACAGTCATGGGAGACACGGAATTAGAGGGAACAAGTTCAAGGAGGGTGGGTAGCCTCCTCCCACACGGGAAAATATATAGTCCCCGGTTTCCTCATGCTTGAAAAACAAGTTGGTTTTGTAGTCAGGCAGTCTAGTTAGTAGCAAGCCTTTTGTTAAATGAATAGATTTATTCCCTAGGGTTACGGAGCTGAAAGACTAGTCAGGACAACAGAGTTTCGTTTTTGTTTTTGTGTATTTTACAAGATATTCCAAATAACCAGTTAAACGGTAAGTATGAGGAGTGATGTGAAGGAAAATAGTGTTGTGTGTGAAGCAGGAGACTGAACCTTGCCTGGGACCTCAGGGAAGGTTTTTCAAGGCAGGAGACGGATGCTTCAGCAGAGCTCTGACGGATGAGTGGGAACTTCATCAGGCCGGGAGGGGCAGGGGGAGCCTCCTGGGGGAGGCACAGCCTGCTGATGGCCAGAAGGAGAGAAGGCTCCCTCTTCCCGCCACTCCCTGGGAAAGCAGTCCAGTTCATTAGCGTTTCGGAGACAGCAGGGAAAAGTGGCCAGGGGTTACACAGGGCCTTGTGGTTCCTGTTGATAGAGTTACTCTTACTCCACAGGCACTAGAAAGCCATTAAAAGGGTCATGACGTTTCATTTGCCCACCATGTCTTAAGTGTTGTTATTACCTAGGAGCTAATCTAAGCCCTCAGGATATGGGAGTCAACAAGATGAACAAAGTTCTTAGCTTTGTAGAGTGTTGAAAAGAGCACGAAACCCGTGACAAAGCCACGATGGGAGGAGCTGTCAGAAGTCCTGTGATAAGAACAGTAGAGGCTGATGGTCTAGAGGAGAGGGCAGAAGCCGCTGTGACGGAGTCCCAGGCAGGGAAGTCCTGTCCTAGTGCCATCCTGGGAGGTTACACTGAGCTGACACCTGAGTGACCAGAAGGATCCCATCTTGTGATGATGTAAGAGAGACCTTTGGGATTGAGGCAAAAGTTGCCCTGAGGCTGGAAGCCGTTTTGAAATGGAGAGAGGGGGTCAGAGGTCAGGGCCTCAGGGGCCTCCCAGACCAAGGGGAGAACTGGGACTCTTATTCCAAGGGCTCTGGATGCCACTGTAAGATTTGAAGCAGGAAGTAATCTGTTCCGATTCATCTTTTAAAAAAAAATCACTCTGGTTTCTTTGTGTTCTACAGAATGGAGAGAGGGAGGAGTGGAGACTGGAAAATCATTTCTGAGACGATTGAGTAGTCCACTTTGGTGAGGATAGTGAGGGACAGAGAGGGGACGGGATTTGGAGGCCAGGCCAGGGAGGTTTCCCAAAGGTTTGGGGGATGGAGAGGAGGGAAATACAAGGATCAAATGTGACTGTCTGGTCTTTGATGGGGGCAGCCTGCTGAGCACTGGGACGGTTTACAGCATGGGCATTCCTTGCATCATGGCTAAGCCTGTGGGCTATGGACTCCACCTGCTTGGATTGAAGTCTAGGTCCCCAGCATCGGTGAGATGAAATCATATTAGTACCTATCTCATAAGTAGTGAGGAGTCAGTGAGTTAATTGTAAAGCAAGCAGGATGGTGTCATACTCTGTAGGCCTGTTTGCTGTTCTAGAAAACAAGTCTAGCAGGGAGACTCAAGAATTGGTTTTGGTGACACACAAGTTTCTGTGTCGAGAGGTCCACTCAGAGGAAGAGTCAGGGATGCAAATAAACAGGGGGAGTCGTCTGCATATTGATCTCATCGAAAGCTACAGGACTACGCGAAAGTTCCTCAGAGATTGTTTAATCAGTGTGGATGATCATGGACTCCTCACTCTTTTAGGAATGATGTGAGCCTTCCTTTGTAAGGAAGAATCAATCCTTTTCTTAAGAGTGAGGCATAAGTATATCAGTAACATAATTTCAGGAGAGCTCCTTTCTCTCACCCTCTCTTCTTGGCTGCTGAGGGAGGGGAAAAGGTCCTAATGACATGGGGTGGGGGGCTTGGTTTCAGAATCTGTTTTCACCCTTGAATTAATTAAATCCCTGCTGTTAGTGCCATGATACCCATTCTAGGACAAGATCTATACCGCATAGGATGAAAATTTTGATGGGAGGGAATGAGGAGCTGGGTAGGGTTAGGTTGGGTAGAATTAAATTTCAAAGCACTAAAAAAAATTCTAGCTGTCAGAGGATTGAAGGTGATTCCCAGAGGCAATACTTTGCATACTGATTAAGCAATCATGACCTATTTAGTTTGATTTATACTGAAAAGAAAATCTATGATATGTTAATGAAGAAGGATCTTGGCATATTTTAGCCTGTGGTAGGATTCAAGTAGGAATAGGATGGAATGAGTAGAAATTATTACACAGCATACTGAAATTATCTCCTTTATGGAAAGATAATGGTACAGTAGCAGGTCAAAAGATCATCTGTATTCAGGGTTTGTTGTTGCTGTTGTTTCTGTCATAGTTCTGTCTTGCTTTGATTTGAGAGACTTTAAGAACACACACCAGAATTCCTATCACCTCCCTTT